TGGCGTTATGTGTGCGTTTTTAATCGCACTCTTCGTTCCGTGTGCTGCGCGTTTCACTTCGTTGTTTTTTGGTCTTCCAAGAGCACGGTATGAAGTTCCTACGAGTATATAAATTGAACGTAGGAACTCTATACCTCGCTGATGGCAAAAACCAGGTAGCATATTTTCAAATTCTTCTCTTCTTGCAGCAATTTCCTCTTTCCCGACACACAGAACAGCTCAAAAAATCCAACATTTTTTTTTTGTCTTATGTTTTCTTTTTTTTTTTGCTCTTGGGATTTGTGTTCTCGGGGGAATTTTTTCGATGCTTTTGCACTGCTTTCTGCCGTCCTTATTGTTTTCTTATACAGTTTAAATTTTCAGCTTCCTGTCATTGAAATTAATTTTAAATTTAGTTTTTGAGAGATGTGTTTAAAATATTTCTAGTTTACAAATGTATTTAAGAGCGTTATACTGAATAATATTCACATGAAATTATTCTATACTTTAAATGCTTTTTTTTTTTTAGTAACATTTTTTAAGGAATGCACTTGAAAAATGTTTCCTTGTTTATTTTTTTTTTTTTAAATATTCGCATTTATATGTCAAATTTATTTGTTATTCGTTTATTTTATTTATTCAATTATTTTATTTTTGAGTAATACACACACGACAATTTAGTTAAAATCAAGCAAAACACTGCAAAACGTTTTTGTGGTTTCGTTTAATATTTATCATTTGCATTTTGGCAAAAGGCATTTGAATTTCTTTAACTTGGTTTTTTTTTACGAAATGTTTGAGAACGCGCAAAAAACATCGCGTCGGCAACACGGAGCGATTTGTAAACGTTTAGTGGCAGCTCCAAAAGCGAACTGAGAAAAACGCAACAAAGTCGCACAGAAAATAACTCGAAATCGAGCAGCGGAGCACACAGAGTGCGGCGTCGACTGCGGCTGCGCGGCGGCGTCGCTGTCGCAGTTGCTGTTTGGCCGCGGGATCGGCATGTGTGTGCGTATGTGTTGGTGTTGCTGCCGTTGCAGCGGTTGCTTATCTGCTGCTGCTGCTGTTGCTATCAATCGATAATCGTCAGATTAGAAAACGTCGACGTTCACTTGAGCACGTAAGCAGCAGCGGCAGCAGCAGCCGACGCAGCAGCGCGGGCCCCCAGTCGCAGTTAGCAGACAACAGCAGCAGCGCTACAAGTGCAACTCACACACAAACACACCCACACGAACGAACGAACGAACGATCAAGAAATTCCAGTTAAGCAACAACAACAACTAACAGCAACATACGTTTTACCGTTAACACAACTGAACACGTTCGCCGTCAATATGCGACTGACGCCACAAAGCTACAAAAACCCGAAGCCGAAGCCGCTTGTCGGTTTGTCGCTGCCGCTGGTTGGTTGGTTGCTGCTGCTGCTGCTGCTGCTGCCGCTGCGTTGCTGCGCTGCTGCGTCGCTGCTTACGTTTCTATTGCTGCTGCCACTGTAGCTGATGTTGCTGCTGCTGCTGCTGCTGCTTGGTGGTGGTTTGTTGCCCTCAACGAGTGTGTTGAGTAGTGAGGCCGTCGCTGCTGCTGCTGCAGCAACATGCCGATGCAGCGGCTTCGTGTATTTGTAGCTTTGTCGCGCACGCAAGTATGACGCAAGCGAAGGCAAACGGTGAAAGCTGTTTTTGGTTGTCGCTTTGAAGTTTCTGCCTTTGCTGCTGCAGTCGCTGCTGTTCCCACTGCTTCTGTTCTGCTGTTTTGCGTGGGCGCCGCACGCGTTGCCAACTCAATTAATAACAAAATAAAGCAACTTTTAATTAATGAAAATTAAATAGTGACCAAATATAAAAAGGCGCACACATTTCAAGGCCAATAACAGCAGCAGGAGCAGTCGTACAACAACAACAACAACAACAACAACAACAACAAAAACAACAACAACGAGAGCAACTCTTTGCAAAGGGAGTTCGATGATCTGTTTACGATTGTTTTTCGCCGCGTCGTCGATTGCCCGCTGCGGAGGTTCTTTATTGTTGCTGTTGTTGGTCGTTGCCTTCGCGAGCAGCAGCAGAATCAGCGTGTGTGTACATATATGTATGTGTGTATGTACATACATAGGCCTACACGACGCTCGCAGCGCAGTTAACGTTCGCTGTCGGCGTTGCGTATGTACAGTAGCACGCCTCAAGTGTATTTGCACACAGATACACATGCACACACATTGACACCTAAATATGTTTGCCTGTACGTGTGTGTATGTATGTACATATATTTGAATATGTTGTCATAGATATTTATCTAGATACGCGCGCACGTTTGCTTGCGGCTTTTGGCGCCTTATTTTCTTTCTCTGCCAGCACTAAACATTTTTTGGCGCCTTTTTTGTTTCTGTGCTGCCGCTGATTAACACCTTATAGCCGCTGATTTTTTATTTTTGGCCAATTCATTAGCAAATTCGGCACGTGCGGCTTGCAGGTGTAGCTTTTCTTTATACCCGAGCAATGTCTGTGCGTGTGTGTGTGTGTGTGTGTATACGGATAGAAATGCATTCAATAACGGACTTTGAATAGTTTCTAAATTTGTATGAATATTAATGTAGTTATAGGTATTTATCTAGATACGCGTCCGCGCTTGTCTACTGTTAACCGTTAAGACGCGTACCCCGACGGTGTCGAAAGCTGCCTCCATAAAAAAACGCGCGCCTCTTAAAGTGGCAAGTACAGCAAAAAGAAAAAAATATAAATTCTGATAAGAAAATCGTCGCGTTGACGAATCAAACAGAAATGTTTGGCGCCTATTTCTCTGTTTCGTCGCGGTCGCCGATTGGCGCTGTGAAAATGTTATTTTTTTTTTTGCCAATTCTCTGCCACGTAGAACATTTTCTTTTCATTGCTTTTTTAATTTGGATTAGAGAAAACTTCAAATAGTGGGAACTACGAGATATATAGAAAGTGAGTATACGACACATTAACCTGCACATCTAAATAAGTAGCTCCATTTAAGAAGAAAGAAGCGGCATCTAAATTCTTTGTCCAAAGAGTATTTAATATTCGTTAGTTCGCAAACGTTGGCCTGTTCCCTTTGTCTGATTGCACATATAAAATGTAGCTGCTGATGACATCACACATTGCACAATTATTTTCAAAGATTGTACAGAAATAATCATTGAAATTTATTTCAAATTGAAGTGCAATCACATTCTAGATTCTTTGTGAACATATATGCACATGTGTATGTGCATGTTGGGGTATATTTATCTACCTGCACATATACATACATACATGCATACATAACTTTACACTACTTTTTGGCGCGCCAATTTCAGTTTCTTTGTTTGTTTGACTGGCTGTCTGTCAGAGTGTGTGTGCGTGTGTGTGTGCGTGCGAAAGTTTGCGTAGCTCTCAACTCAACTTTTTGGCTGTGAAAAAGCATAATGAAATAAATGTTAACAATAACACAAAAAACTGACACAGACAACAACCTGTTTCCAAGCGAACAGCATCTATATAATGTATCTACACACACATATACATGCATACAAGCACACGTTCGCACAGATACACGCACACACACACTATTATATTTTTGTTGGTTTTGATTTTCGCTTGGTTGAGTTGCTTTGTTGTTTTTGTAATTGCTGTTTGATTTCTGTGCGTTTTTGAAGGTCAACTTTTATTTTATGTATTTTGGCTTTGCCTTTTTTCTGTATATACCCTGTACGCCTAAAAAAAAGGGTCTGCTGCATTGGTTGTAACAGGCTGCATGAGTCATCTTCGTCCCCATAAAATTACTCTTGGACATTATTGAAGGTCGGTCTGACTTTTCTGCAGTCTGCCTGTCTTTCAATATAGGGTATCGCTCTGTAGGGTATCGTTTACAAATTGTAGAGCTAGTTTTTTACAGGCCGTATCCATAGATGTAAAAAAACTTAACATTATAACAACTAGATACTCATCTTTTTGTTTATATGCAGCCTAGGAATATTGCTAAAAAGAAAAAGAACTGAAAGAAATTTTGAGTGTATGTCACGTCCATTCTCTGGAAATAGAGTATTTCCTGGTCGGGCACTCTTGAGTTGTTGCTTCTTTCTTTCATTTTGTTGGCTCGAGAGTTTAATGAGTCGTTTCCGTGAATATGTGGGCTGATTGGGTGAGAATTGACTCTTTGACGACACGACTTATTAGTCATGAAACGGTAAACTATTCTTGTAACTGAAAGTGACCGAAAGTAAAAGGAGATCTTAAGTGAAATGGAATAAAGGTGGAATTACAAGTTACTCATCCTCTAACTAGTGCACTTCGAAGGAAGCAGGCCTTAAGAATGTGTCCCATGATTAAATAATATTTGCCTAATTCCCAAATAGCGTAATTCCCAAAAGTTTCACTTTTCTAGCTGTACACATGAAATATGCCAAAAGCCGGCAAGACAAAGATAAATGTGAGATGTCAACGTCTACAAGACCGCCGATTAGCGGCAATTTTGCCAAGTCATAACAATGATTGGGCCACGAGGGGGCGACAACAACGTCTCCAAATCCAAGGAAATTAACGCCATAAGGGGGCCAATGTGTCAGTCGAAATGACGCAATTGATGCGGCAGCATTTGATAAAAATTATACGATTTTATGGCAAACAGCGGGAAAAACTAAAACCCCAAAAGCGGAACCTTCTTTCTCTCCGTCTCTATCTCTTCTCTCTCTCTCTCTCTTTCTATCTCTCTCTCTCGCCCTCTCTCAATATAGCGAGCATTTTCTTTAGCCTTAGCTTTCGTTTTGACCAAAAAAAGAGAAGATGAACATAAATTTGTAATTTATGGCTGACACTTCAGCGCACACCTTGACGGGGCCCATTAGATTTATGTTTCTGCCTATACAGTCGCATACAATTCATACATCAACAGTTCTATTCATAAACTATGGACAGGTTTATATTTATTATTAATATTATTATTATTTTTTATACTTATTATGCTTAGGCTGCTGCTGTCCGTTGTTTCCACAAAAAAAAAAAAAAAAAAAAACTTGAAAATATAAAATAAATTATAATTTGTTTTATATGCTAACGTGTAGGGCGACATCATGTATGTATATGCTCTACGATTGTTTCCCCATATATATAAATTTGAGCCGACGCGTAGGTGCAGCCAAAGCCACAACGGCCACACATTTTCATTGCTCGTAACACGCCCCGTTTTGGTTGCCTCTTCATACTCTGGGCAGAAAACACCTAAAGGGCGTTTTAGTTTTTTTCACTAGACACAAATGAGGCAAAGGCTTAACAGAAAAAAGTTGATTATCCAAAAATAAACTTGAAAATGAGAAAATTTGATATTAGGTCGTAATCTCTATCTTACATAAAATTTTTTAACTTTCCTTTTTAGATGTGGAATATGATTTGGATTTTTCTTGAACTAAATTTTGAAGTTGAAATAGAAAATAATATACGATATATTGATACCCGAAGTTTTAAATTATCCTTTAAATGGAATTGTTATTGGCTTGCATAAGTCTAATGACTACAGGGTATTCTTTAGCTGAGCACAAACTCTATGACCAAGCTGACTTCATTTTTTTCATGTATTCATTTTCAAAAATTTGTTGTAGATATGTTGTGTTGGCTATTATGTTTTCACTTTGAATATAATTCTTGTTGATCACTCATGAATTTCAATGGGAGCCTACGACATAAATCAGCTGTGAGGCATCCTACGCACCGGCTAATGACTTGTATATGCAGATAGGTCGTTAGTTTTCTCTCTGACTCTATCGTCTCGCTTTCTATAGGGTTTTGATGTCTGCCTGGGCTACTTGGGCGTGGACTATCAACGACAGTATCGGTCGTTGCCGACCCAGGTCTGACATCATTTAAATTTCGCAACGGTTGCCGATTGCTTTTCAATTGCTCATCGAGCGGCGATGTCAAGCCGCGGGCCACACCATGTGCGATTATTGTGGGCGCTGATAAGATTGAACGATCTCGTTGAATCGCGCCGTGAGTTGCGGGTATTCTAAAATTAAAAACCCGCTAAAAATTGCGTATACGATAAACTAGAGCTGTTTATGCATGTACCACGGTTTTTAGCCGCTTTTTGTTGCAACGGTTCGTGGCATGTGTGTCAGTTGGCAAGTTCTTTGCCAAAGTTTTTGGCACAGTTTCCAGACTGTGCGGGTGCAAGCGAGACAGAGCGTCTGGGCGACGCCTACAAATGTGTGTGAGTGTATAAACACAGGCGTGTACGGGGCCAGGCAAAAACATGGCAGTCCAACTGTGAGTCCTGCTCGGCTCTGGGCCAAGAAACCACCACAAACAGCCACGATAAAAGTCACAAAAGTTATGAACTACCCAGAAAAGTGCACACACAAGCACATTCATACATATACACATATGACTGTGAAGCCTGTGGGGGTGCGTAACACACATGCCGCACACACATGCGCGCACACACACACACACGTCTCTTATCGTCCTGGGCGCAACTTCCTCGACGACTTTGTGTGTTGTATGTTTTTCTTCTGCTTGCTCAACTGTCTGACAGTTGGTACTGGGTCCTTGTCCTGTTCCTTACAGTATGGCCTATTGATTATTGTTTTCCATTAGATTGACATTTTCCACAAGCAGCACGCACGTGCTGGTGCGAGCGAAGCGGCTGCCTTGACCTTATTGCTATCCTTTTCTTGCTTTTTAGCCATGTTTTGGTTGCCCCTCAATGCGATCTGTGCCTTTGCCACGTTGCGTGACTATTAAATATTCGTCTGTTTGTGTTGTGTTTCCTTTTGCAGAAATGTCTCATAAAAATGATTAATGGCTAATTGCGTGCTTTTTAGGTTGAAAAAATTACTGGAGCTCTGCTTGAATAGTAACAAAGTTTTACCGCCTGTTGGCACAAACCGAAAAGGACCCCCAAATATCAAATTTATCCGTTTACACGACGCTCTTAATTACAAGTGGTCAGAGGTGGCAACTGCGCCTAAGTTTATATAAATCATAAACAAATGAAATGTTACTAATTTGAAACTGCTTTCGCAAATTAGAACAAGTAGGAGAAAACTGGGGACAAACTAATTAGAGAGAGCGAGAGAAAAAACTAGTTAGTTGTTACTTTTTCTATAGGAAAATATTATTAAATATCGGATATTCCAAGTTCATCTGCCAGTCTTATGGGTTGACTTTATTGTGTCAAGTGAGAAAACACTTGAGCTTCACAATTTGAGAAAATTAGAGAAAAACAAGTCAGAGAGAGAGAGATAGAGAGATGTAGAAAATGTATAATCTGATTATTATTTCTAAATTTGGCAAAAACTTAAAAAAGAATTCTTCAGATATTTCAAGTACTATCAGCCAGTCTCATGGGCTTACCTTTTGCTTTTAAGCCAAATCTCGAGACACTCTTCCGTTAAGAAAAGCGTGAGCACACTTGAGACTCATAATTTGTATAACGCTGCCAAGTGTAATATTAACAAATCTTTAAGAAATAAAATTTTAAACAAAAAAAATTGCAAAATAAACACTTGGCTGCTTCCACATCCACTCGCAGGCGTTCAATTGATCGGACAACATGAGTATGTCAATCATATACTATATGCGCACTTGGAAATCAACATATCATAACCCAGTCAATGGCAAAAAACGAAAACAAAAAATTGAAATAAATTCAGCTGCTTTTTGTTCTGGTTTGTTTTTTTGCTTTGTTTTTCGACTGCTTTGTGTTGCGTTTGTTTTGCAATTGAAAGTCAATTGAGCGACGTTTTGTGGGCACTGTGCGGGCTGGGGCGTGGCTGCATTTAACTTCTTGCTGCCACTAAGCGGGTTTGGCTTTCGATTTGGGTTTGGGTTTGGGTAGAGCCATGTAAATGCAAATTCACGCAGCGCTGGCGGGCAAAATGCCTTTTGAACTGTGTGGCACAGCATTCGGACTGAGAGAAAGGTGCAAGAAGTAGGACAGGCAGGGGAAGCGAGAAGGGGAGGAGGGCAGCAAAAGAATCAGGCAGCTGCCTTCGTTCTGCGCCTGTCATGCGTTTTAGCAATTTGCAAATTTACAAGTTCTACATACGGGGCGCATGTTTAATATCAAATTATGAAACGGCAGCCTCGCCAGCTGCTGCTGCTGCTGCTGCTGCCGGGCCCTGTAGCAGCCTCTGGTTGGGACTCAGGCTGGCTCAGCCCGTTTTCCTTTTAGTGACAGCGATTGCATTTTCAAGTGCCACACGGCAACATTTGTATGCAAATTGCTTGGGCGAGTGCACGAGTGCAACATGTTGCTGCTGTACAAGTTGTTGTTGCAGCTATTGCTGTTGTCGTCGTCGTAGTTGTTGTTGCTGCTGTTGTTGTTGTTGCTGGTGCCTCAACTTTTGCCTGCGGTCGCCTGCAAATAAAGAACGCATTGAGTTTTTATTAGTTTTTGATGATGCTCATAAAACGACGCGACGGCAGCGATGATAAAAATCTGTTTGCCTAAGTAAAGTGAGGCATTTAAAGCAGGCACAACCAGAGACTGGCTCACATTCACACACACACACACACACACAGTCAGTCAGCGTCTCTTTCCCATTGAATTGACTCAGTTCAAGCTGCAGGGGCTGGCAGGGTGGGACATTGGCTTTGATTGTAAAATGTAACTATCCGCTGCTAAATGCAATAAAACGAGACAAGTGTTGAGTTCTTTTTGAGTGCTTGACTTTTACAGCCAATGTCTGACCAAACGCCAAAGTCAGGCGTTCATGGAAGTGCCAACATGTGGTGGGCAGTCAAAGATTTACGTTCTAGTGTGTAATCTACTCTTAAAACCTTTTTTCACTTCTGCAATTAACATAATTTTTATATCAGTTGCTATTACCCGATTTTTTTCTGCCTATAATGATAATCGCCTTTGCGTTGTCCCGCTGCATGTCGCACATCATAATAATTACGGCTGTTGCTGGCCCCAGAGCCGGTAAGCCATAAGGTAATACAGAGAGAGAGAGAGAGAAAGAAATAGAGAGTGAGAGAGAGAGAGGGATATAGAGAGTGGAGGAGGAAGGAGAAAACTACTGCCACCTTTTAAACAATTACATTAGTAGTGGAAGCCCTGCAATAAGAACTAAAACATTTAATGGACTCTTAGCTAAATTAACAAAGCCAACATATTCTCATAGAGAGGTAAGAAACAGAGACAGAGAGAGAGATAGAGAAGGGAGATAGAGACCAAAGGCAGGCAGGCAGACGCGCCCCTTCACAGTGTAGACCGTGTATCTGTGAGTACGTGTATCTGTATTCGTAACTGTAACTGTATCTGTAGCTGTAGCTGTGCCTGTCTGTGTATTGGTGTGTGCCGTTTGCGCTTCTAATGACACAACATTTCATTAAAAATAATTTCACTAAACATTTGACGTATTACGTCCAATTGGCATTTCTAATGACAAACTCACACACACACACAGGCACGCACACACACACACACAGACGCACGCACACACATGCAGCTCATAGAAATAGAAATAAAAGTACATAATGGTACTAATCGTCAAACATGTATTTAGTTTTGTTGTCGGGCTTGTTACACGTTGGCTGTTGTTGTTGTTTTTCTTTTTTTTTCGTCTGTGTTTTTTTTTTTTTTTCTATTTGAATTTTGTTTTGGGGCTTTGTGTTTGGCTTGGTCGAGGTCTTATCAGCGTGTATCGCTGTTAAAACGTTTTTAATTTCCTATCGCTGGCCAACAATCATTTAATTATAGTGCTTGAAACGTATTTAGTTAGCTGCAGTCCAGCACAAAAGCGTAGAAGAGGGGTCTTAATAAAGTCCGACGAATGAGTGCGTGAAGCTGAGTCACGAGTGCGATACAACTGAGAAGAAATAAAAAACAGGAAACATGACTCACGCACGAGCTGGACGACACACACTTTAAGGCCAGTCACTTTGTTAACCCCTTCGGTGAACTAAGCCTCTGTGTTTTTGATTTTAAGCCAACTATTTCTAGTCCATTGAATTGGACAGAAACAAAAAGTAAAATAAAAAATACTGTTGACAGAGCTGAGACCAATGTGTGATCCAAAATTGATTTTATTGTAGATCGCTATCTAATTGTGAGCTCATGTTTTCCCACTGATTAAATAGGCCATTTACACACACTCGCACACACACACACATAAACACACATTTGGAGTGGGAAACCAGTTGAAAATTGCTGCTTGTTGCAGCTGCGACAAAATTCATGTAGCTTAAACAAATATTTGAGCTCCATTAGGCTGGACAATCACTCAGCAGTCGTTAAACGCGCTCGCTTTTATTAAACTGTCATCAACATGCAGCAGCTATTCGAAATGTGTTTGTTAGGTTTACGAAGGGGGGTGTGGGCGATTGGATCATATATGCTGCAGCTATTCAAAAAGCTTATGCAGAAGACGCAGATGCATAGACACAAAACCATACTTTATATAGATACTAAAATTATACTATTTGCTGTCAATCAACGTCAGTGCTAAAGCCGAGCCATAAACAATATCGGATTTCTGGCCGCAGAATACTAATTAAATTACGCAAAAAAGGCAAAAGGCAGCAGCAACAGCAACAGCAGCCAGCTAAAAGTGAAGTGAAAAGCAAATTCAAGATTTTCAATGTTCAGATAAGCTCACAATAACAACACACAGATACAACACACACATGCACACACACTCACATACGCACTTAGCCAAAGGAAACGCTGCGAATGCTGTTGCTGTTGTTGTTATGTTGCTAATAATAATAATAATGTTGTTGCTGTTGCTGCTGCTGCTGCTGCTGCTGCAGTTGGCAGTTGCAGTTGCTAATTTTAAATGGCAACAACAACTTTTGAACTGAAGTTTCTCTGCACTGCAAATGTTGCTGTTGTTGTTTGCTTGTAATATATTTTAATTTATGCTCGGTTGGCAATACTTTTGGCCAGCAGCGGCAACGCCGCATTTCAGGCACGCTGTAAAATTGCGCGTAAATAAACATTAATTTTAATTTAATGAATTAAACACACACACAAGTTGATCAGTGGATATATATACATATATATATATATATATATGTATAAAGACATCAGCCGTGGAATTTGCCTGCTGAGTCACTTTTTGAGGGCTGCCTGCTTGTCGCCTTGGCACTATATAAACATATAGATACATTTGTATCTACGCTCAAGTGAGTTTCTTTATTTTCAATTTTAGCTTTTTCAATTTATTTTTGTTTTTTTGTTTTTGGTCTTTTATGCAAAGTGTTTGCCACACATATGTGTGCACACATCCGACTATTTGTGTGGGATTTGTCATTCATAAAATAAAATGCATCGCAGTTTAAATGGGCATGCAATGCATTCAGCAAAATCAATTGACGAGCCATTGATATGGCCGTATGGAAATAAAACATAACGAGAGCTTATATTTTTAACTAGCTTGCAACAGCGATACTCACTGAATAGATTCGATTTTGTTAATAGTTGAGTGCTTGTGCAACAGTTTTTCATTTTATTGCCGAAATTGGGGGAGAACATTTGTAAAAGCCCCAACCACCATATTTGTGTAACTGAAAAAGTTGTTACTTTACTTTGTATAATAATAAATAATATGTTTATAATATCTTTTCAGATAAAAAGTAAAAAGTGAAGGATTATTTTGTGTGTTTAAAGGCATTGTAAAGAGTTCGGATGCAAGAAGCAAAAAGGGTAAGCGCGAGCATTGAAATAATAATATATGCATAGATACATAGAAAACATAGTCTATACCAGACCATATTTAGCTAATAACTAAATATAGATATTATCTAAACTGTGCTTATGCCAATAAACACGCTACAAGTACAGTCATGCCAAGTGGGCAACTGGTTGATTATTAGCAACAGCTTTATTATGCAGCTCTCAGCAACATCAGCAACAACAGCAACAACAGCAATAATTGTAATCAACTGTCAGCAAGCTCAGGCACTAGTTAGTGGCAACATAATTAAATATGCAACCAAAAGCTATGTACAATTAAATTAACCAAAGTTGAATATTTGTTGCAGCCAGTGCGAGTGTTGCCACTCGCCGCGGCTTTTGTTGGTTGCGGCTTTATCTTTATCAGCCATGCATCGCCAGTTGCCATGTTGCCACATTGCCACATTGCCACGTTGCCTGTCGGTTGCTTGCAGCTATTTCCTGTCAGATTTTGCATAAATAATTTTTGATAATCAGAGCTGTGCGACTGGCACATAAATTTAATTAGCAGCATATGCTGCATTTAATTAGCAGTAAACTCATGACTTCCAGTGCATCTAACTGTTCCAGCAGCCACTGCAGCCAACTGCAACTGCAACTGCAACAGAAACTGCGGCAGTTGCACTCGCTGCTGCCTTAATTGAAATTCACACGATGCGAATGTTGCCGCTCATTTCGTAGGCCGACTGCGTGCTGTTGTTGTTACTATTTTTCATTATTTAGTCGAATGCATCATTATTATTATAATTCCTTTCTATTTTGTATTTTTTTCCTTCTTATATTTATTTATTATTTTTTTCGCATTGCATAAGCCCACTGACAGCCTGTTGCTGCTAAAGGGGGGCTCGAGTAGCTGCCACCGCTTGGCTCGCTGCCGCTGCATATGTGGCATGCATAATTAGCAGCCTAGAGTTGAGTCTCAGTCGAGTGGCGAGATATAAAGAATTTTCATTTTCATTTATACATACATATTACCAACAATAAATTTGTAATCAAAACACAGATACTGACTGACTGAGCGTATCCGTGTGTGCGTTCTCTTCTGTTGTGTGTGCCCCACTTGCTATCTGTATTCTCTTCGTTTTTTTTTTTTTTTTTTTAATGAGCCATTAAGCTTCAGATTTTTGTGTTTAGATACGCCCAAAGTTTGTCTATCTCGAGCAACTGGCAATGTGAAGAAAATGCTTAGATGATATGTTATGCGTTTCCACGAAACGAATTAAGTTATTAGATACGCCTCAGCTGGAAAACTGTGTGGCAGTCCATAGAATCAATTTGTGAGATTATGCTGATGCGTATTATGTTCTCTAAAAGTTGTTGGCTTGATAGATGATCTCAAGTATGTACAAGGCTGCGTACAACAGCAACATGTTGCAGTCAGTTACATGTGGGGGCATTGCTGCCCCTGGGCTATGCGGCAGGTACGCTAAAAAGTTCCTCTTGCAATCTTTTGCCCATAACTAAGCCTCGTCAAGTCTAACTTATGCGCCAGACTCTCTGACAGTCCGTCAACTGGCGATGTCAACAACAAATGACTCTCATTCCGGCACAACTGACAACAGACAGTTGAAAACTTCATTAAAATTGTGCCCACAATTAGTGCGGCAAAGCAACAGCAACAATAACAACATTAGAACCAACAACAATAACAAGAACAACAACAAAAAACAAAATGTGGCGGTTTTCATGTGTTGATTTCCAACTGTCAAAAGTTTGTTTATTTGTATTTACTATCTTTTATATTTTTCTCATTTTGGTTCTGGTTACTCAAATGTTGTTGATATAAGCTAATTTTAGATATTGAAATGTGCAAGCCTCGTTTATGACCAGAGAGAGAGAGAGAGAGAGAAAGAGAGAGAGAGCGAGAGAGAGAGAGAGAGAGAGAGAGAGAGAGAGATAGGTAGAGAGAGGGATAGGTTCATATTGCATGTGAAAATTTGTTCAAACAAAAATACAAACAATTATAAAAAATAATCAACAGTACAAATATAACAACGAATCATATTACAAAAGCAGTTAGACAAATAAACAAACACAACCAGATAGTAGAGCTTAATTCAGAGAGGGAGAGAGAGATTTAAAGAGAGTGAGACAGAGAGTGAGACAGAGAGAAAGACAGAGAGAAAGAGAGAGAGAGAGAGTGTATGAGGCAGGCAGACGACCTGACGACAACTGACGTTCAATTGTGGAGCCATGCAGGAAAGTCATGCAAACTGACAGACAGTCCGACAGACAATCAGACAGACAGCGAGAAGCGTCTATATTAGGGCGCTCGGAAAGTGGCAGAAGACTGGGCCAGGGGCTGTGTAGGGCAGGGCCAGAGCCAGACAAACAAATAATAATAAAATAATAATTGTTTGTCAACATTCGTTTAGCATGTGCGCCGCACACACAAAGAGCTACATACATATATATCTGGCCCATCCATACTCTATCTATACATGTGTCTATCTATATAGACTCGTGCTCAAGTACTAGCTAGTTGCGATTGCCCTGCAATAAGGGCTGTTTGATAGTTGTTTCTCTCTGTACTCTTTTTTTTTTTTTTGTTTTTGCCACAATTGACTATTTTCCACATTTTGGCATGAAATGTCATGAGCAATTGTAACAGCTACATATATATATGTGTTTATATATGTGCATACATTCATGTACGGAGAGCGATTCCCATTTAAACTGCGTTTTGCGGTTGCTCGACTGAGGTGAATGCCACACACGGCAAGCACGTTAAAGATAAAAAAATAAAAAAAACACAGTAGAAATAGAGAATTGTTTCAACTGGCATTCAGCACGTCATTTGCTTATTCAATTTCATGACACGATGTCGCCACACAAAACACACCAAGCTAGTCTCGCGTGCGTCACATAGCATAGTACAAACATTTCTCAGCCAGGCAGCAACAACAACAACAACAAAAACACCCCGATAATTGATGATAAATGTTGTATAATTTGACAAAAACACCAGCTGAAGAACAAACGAACCTGAAAAAAATAAAATAAAAGAATAATGTGGAACTTAACTCAGCTCGAGAAAAAAAATGAATAATAATATTAAATATGTATAGAGAAAAGTGGCACCCGCAATTATCGCTAGAAAGCATTTCCAAATAATTACAACACATTTCCAGCAATGCACGTCACATGATAATAGTGTATGCAGTTTATGCCATATTATTCTTTTGAATATTTTGTGGGGCGTGTCTGCGTAATTATGTAGTCAGTAATGGGCATATGAATACCCTCTGCTCCTGCCCAACCCCCCATCCAATATCCATATGGATGACACACAAGAAAGAGAACAGTTGTGCGCGATTATTTTCTAGGGTATTACGTGCCAAGAGAATCTAGTTAATTAGCTGCTGCACTACGAAGTCTCTAATACTTAAGATCTTATTTTGATCAAATTCTCGCGGGAAATTGATGTAAGCGTCAGCTTTTATTAATTTGTTTCGAACCGGCTCTAGGTCGCAAATTACTTATTTTTGAACGTTAAACCAAACCAAACCTGGTTCTTTATACAAATTATATATATACTTTGTATACTCTGCTTTTAGATTAACGCAGGCTTGAACAGCATTAATAGAAGTTTTCTTAAAGATATTTAAGTTTGTAGTTTGTTATGAAACTGTCTCCTTAAGAATAAGAAAAATGTTGACAAGGGAGAGCTTGAGTCGAAGCCTATTCACTTGATTATAAAAAACCAGATTGACGAACCGAAACTAAGGGCTAAGCTTTGGCTCGAACCATCATCCGCATTCGCAATTCTTTTATGAATTTATTATGAATGCATTTATGCCGAGCGAATCAAACAAAAGAGATAAAATAAAACATAATATTTTATGTACCTGATATTTTACCATCCACTGCCCTAGGATATACACTTCGAAGAGTGTCGATGAGTAATTGGCTCGTAAAAATTATGTGGAAATTAATTTTCAGTGTTTTCCGTGCATGCTGCCCATTTTCACCATCCGCGCGACTCGCTACTCGCCTCGTCTATTAATAGACAATGAAAAGCAACAAATAAACGAAACGAGCAACAAAATATTGAAATATGAATGCAGTTGGGGCTGTTCCCGCTGCCAACTTGCAGCACTTGTCGTGGCTTCCACCTGCCAAAAATACAAAAATACACACGCTACGTCGTCGCTTGACACTTTTGCCATGCAACCCAGCCCCACCGGAGTCCCATCATCCGTTCACCCATCCCGCTCTCGCACATGCTACGCACCGCTCTGCCCGCTGCCCGCAGCCCTCTCAATTTCCCACAATGATTGCATTCGTGTTGGCTTTCTTTTTCTCTTTTTTTGTTGTTGTATCTTTTCACTTTGCGGCTATTTTTGGACTGATGCGCCTTCAAAGCCCGCGTGTTACGTATTAAAATTAGTATGCAATATTTTTGTTCAAAAAAAAAAAAAAAAACAACTTAAAACAAAAAGAAATTCATGTTGTGTGTGTGTGTTTTTTTTTACTCGCATATTTATTTCTGATGCGTTGAAAATAAACCGTAAATAATCGCGTCGGACGTTCGGGCGGCTTTACAATCAATTCACTTGCACACGCAGCGCTCACACGAGTATACCCTATAAATATATCAATATTTATGTGTATGTGCAATACATATATGCGTATTTATATATATATATGCATATAGATATTTCGATCTGTGGTTATATTTATAACGAGTTGCCTGCTTGCACTCGTCGCAACAAATTTAAAAATTATTGGTAATAAAAATCCACCTTCTCTCTGCTGGCTGCCTACCTCATGCCGCCCTCTTGCCACCCTCTTGCCAGCTTCTTGCCTGCCTCATGGCTCCCTCATGCCTTCCTGCTCGCATTATGCATCATAAAATCTTGATATTTAATATAGTATGTTTTGGGAGCTGTCTCTGCGTCTGCCGTCTGCCGTTTGTGTGAATTTAAATATGTATTTAAAAATGAATTATATAAATATGCATAAGTTTAAGTTTAAGTGGGCACTGCTGACATTTAGCTGTTTCTTGGCGCTATTGTTATTGTTTTTATATAAATATATATGCTTTTCTTTAATTTTTGGCTCAATTTGAAATCTTGTAGCAGGCTCACAGCGAGGGGCCGTCGCTCGGTTAATACCAAACATGGGTTTTTTATATTCATGCAATTTAGCTTTCATTAAGCTACTCAATGGTTGCGGAAGATAATAAAAAATTAATGCCTTCGAGATTCTGCATATTTGGGCCATAAATTGAATATATTGAAGTGGTTCCTGCTGCTCTGTCAAACTCATATGGAAATTATAAATACATATTTTGTTGATGCGAAAGGTTTTGTATTACTAATCTCCCATGAATTTAGCTGCAACTTAAGAGCTTTTGTTCAGAGTATTTTTTCTTTTTCATAGTGATTCACTTTGTGTCTATAGATAGATGGATATAGTTAGTTAGTTAGCTCGAGTGAACCTGCAATTCCACGCATATAATTTATTTTCTTATTTGTGTGCCACCCACCCACACATTGTATGCCAACTGAGCGACGTCTTTTATTAATTTAATATATGGGGCTACACATAGCATTTCTTTTCTTGTTTTGTGTTTTTTTGATGACAAATTGTCACGAGTGCATTGATGCAAAAAACTTAAATGAAGCGACATGCTGTTGAAATGTCTACACCGCCCTAATTCAAACCCGCCCTCAAGTCAGCAGCGACCCCCTTACCCCCTTACCCCCTTACCGACCCGTTCCCTGTTGCCTGTGTTAGCCCTTGCTATGTGCTGCTCTTGTGTTGTCCACAGCGTGTTGCATGCATATAAAAGATACAAAACGAAGTACATTGCGTGCACTTGCAGATACTTGAGCGTCAACGTCCATTGTCAATTTTTGGGCTCGTCTTTTGCAGCCGATTGCAGTTGTTGTTGTTGTTGCGGTTGTTCGTGTTGTTGTTTTGTTCTTTCGTGTCGTCGGTGGCTCATCATAATGAACAATGTGAATGTAAAACTTGAAAACTAATATGCCGAGCCATGAAAGGAGCACCAGGCCAAGTAGCGAGCCAAGAACCAAGTGACTAAGCCCGCAGCCCCAGACCCAGACCCAGTCCCAGACCCAGACCCCGTCCCAGACCCAGACCCAGACCCAGCCCCAAACAACAACAACGACAATGGTTGGGTTATCTGGCTACCTCTTTGAAATGTTGTTGTTGTCGTAGTTGTTGTTGTTGTTGTGGCAGCTCTCGGATTACATCCCGAAAAAAAGAACATGCGAGCGTCGCTGTTGCAATTGAAAACCGAGCTTGACAGTTGTTGTTGCTATTGTTTTCGTGCTGTTTTGCTGGTTTATGGATTGCCAAAAAAAGAACAAAAAAAAAAATTGAACTTCGGCCGGGTCTGGGGTCCGGTTTGAGCATGCTTTAGCTGGTTACCGTTAGAAGGCGGGTATATCCTAAGTTCTGTTTCACTTTCTCAGTCTCTCGAGTCTCTGGCATTTTTATGTCTTCCTGGAAGCGTAAGCAATATGTCGCTGCGGGTGCGGAATTCCCAGTCGGTACATTCTAAATTTCGGTGCGGATCGCGAGAGAGACAAAGCCAGACATATAGGTAGAGAGAGTGGGAGAGCGAAAGAGAAGTGCCAATTAAACAAGCTGATTGTAACACAAGAAAACAAAATGAAATGAAAACGAAACGAAACGAAACGAAACGAAATGAAAGCAAACGAAGCGAGTGCCTGGCGGCAATAATTCAATTAGCACTGTTTCGTTTCATAAAAGTATTAGTTGATTTTTTTTAATTAATGTGCAGTTATCATGCAATCCGATTAAGAGGCGACTCCACTCGAGTCGATTCGATTCGACTCAACGCGACTTGCCCCCAGCTCAAGCCATTCGGTTGTACTCGTAATTGCAAAGTGTTTGTTATTTGTAGTCCAAGCGGGCAGCAAGTTGTAGTTGTTGTTGTTGTCGTTGTTGTTTTTGCTGCTGCAGTTGCATTTGTTGTTATCTGCCAAGAATGCTAATTATAAGATTAGTGGAGAGACCGAACTATGCGCCATGAAGTAGCCGATATGTCTGCATCTGCAACTTGGCTGATAGCGCACACGCACGAGACAAAGGCGGCAAACTGTTGACAACAATGTTGAGTTTGGCTTTGCCAGCCTGTCAGCAGATATAGATACTTGCTGCCACACGGCTTATACCACATACAGATACAGATACAGCTAGCGAGATACAGCCACAGATACACGAACTTATGTGGCCGCATATTGCCCACTGAGTGGTCGTTCGTTATTTCTCTCTCTATCTACCTTGCAATATTTTTATTTCGAATTCGCGTTTTGTTTTATGCATGAAAATGCCAGTGTGGAAATGCAATGTTTATTTAAGAAATATATGTGCGCAATGTGTTAGATAATATGTTTGGTAACACGATTTATAAATACACATATCTATGCACAAATGTATATTTGCACGTGTGTGTATGTGTGTGTGTGTGTAACCGATGTGGTTGCCAGCCAGCATTGATTTATAGACTCTTTGCCATGTTGAGGTTTAGACTATGAATCAATAGAACGTTACATAATAGCGCAAGAGCTTAAAACCTGAAATCTGTATGGAAAACTACTTAATAATTTTAAATACAATTAATCTCGCTTGAAGCTTTCAGAAACTTTAAATTATCAATTCAGTTTTGGACAGCCTATTTATATATATGTCAATTGTAATTGAATGCATGAAACGGAAAGGATTATATGGCTTTTATTCAGAATAATAATAATAATAAATAATAAGGGCTTAAGAACAGAAAATATGATTTTACTATCTCTAGAAGCGCTCTTTCTCCCTTTGCCTATCTCACTCCATCTCTATCTTAGAGTACAAAGTTGAATACGTGTTGCACAACTACGAACATCCTTTTTGTCTTCCGATTGATAGACTCTGCCATTTTGAGGCGTAGGCCTTAAATTCAGGATATGATTTTAAAATCTCTAGAAGCTCTCGCGTGGTGTATCTCTCTCTTTCGCCCTCTCTATCTCAGCCTGCAAAATGCAATAACAATGAAGGACATTTACGCACATCCTTTGCGTCTTCCGATTATTTCCGACAGCAACTGCAATTCTAGTTGAAATATTTTAATGGTTTTGAATGCTCTTGGGCTGGCAACAACAAGACTTTAGCACACATCAGCAACATCATCAGCAGCCAAAAGCCGCAGCAGCCGCAACTACAACAACAAGAAAAACAAAAACTACTACGTCACCCATTGCAGCATATGAGTCTGGCTATCTGCGTGTGCGTGTATGTGTGTGTGTGTGTTTGCCCATCTGCCACGCCCCTATAGCATCATATATACTTCTCTGTTTTCTCTCTCGCCGTTTTTTTTTTTATTCTCTCTGATATCTGTCGTGTGCATCTCTTGAACTATCAATTTAAATGTCAGTTTAAATTGTTGAATTTTTCATTTCGTGGACTTCGTGCATGAAAACTATAAAATGCTTTTTATTGTTTTACGTTTTTTTGTGTATCTGTTTTTTTTTTGTTTTAGTTTTGAAAACTTTGCTTAGAGAGTTAAAGAGCGAGCCAAGGCTACAAGAATGTGTACGTATATCTATGTATGTACATAAGTATGTATAGAGATGTTCGCTGATATGCGACGAATGAGGGACTTTGGGGGCACTTTAGGCCATGGCTGACTCTGGCTTGTTTTGGTTTTCTGTATGGTTCTGTGCATGGGGTATGGGGCTGGCTGGCTTTCAACATTTGACAGCAGCTGTCAAAAAAACTTGAAAGAGTTTTGCCGAGACATAGACCCGAGTCCAAGACTGGCGACTTGCCTCGAAGCGCCCAAGTAAAAGTTGCAATGTATTTGTTCTCTTTGTTATTGCCACTAGGGGCATTGGGGCCCTTGTTCTTTTATTCTTTGGCATGTTACCAAGTTGTAATTTTGCTTACCTTTTTGGTAAATTTGAGAGAAATGTGCCAGTCAACTGAAATGTAAGCAAAACGATGGAATTTCATTAGATATATATCTATATGTTAAAGTAATGTATGCTTCATTGAGACTAAAACGAGCAAACAATTTGGGTTCTATATAATCTCAACTACGTAAAGGTGTATGGATATATACATATGTATCTATCATGGCTGAAAGTAATGTTCAAACAAACTTTCGAGGTAGCAAGCAAAAAAAAAAATAAAAAAATACAACTATGAAATGTTAGACAAATCGATTTCATTTGGCATCAAGACGTGGGCTATTAATTTGTCTGTTGTGTTAACGTTTCGGAACCACTTTAATAGTTTCTGGCTCCGCATCGATGAAAGAAGAAACAATACGTCAATAGACAGTAAAGCCTGAATATAAGAGATCCGTTTTGAAAGATGCTTTTTGCTGTTTAATTGCTCCTCATCTAACTTCGAACTGCAATTGAGCATTCATCAATATCGGGCCCAATTTCCGTGTTGTAAATTAATTATGAAAAGATTTACATACTTATATTTTGTTAAGGCCAAGCTGGGTTTTGTGCTTAAAGTCTTCACTCGCCTCAGCTTAACGCGGCTTGTCTCGCTCTTTTATATGCATTTTTTTAATAATTTCTATAGTTCTTTTGTTTGGCCATTAAATGCGCGACGTTAATTGATGCCACCGTGCGGACAATCACAATATGGCATAACAAAACCACATTTTTGGCAACGATTTGGCCATCAAGTCAACAAGTTATCAAATTTGGCATTGATTGGAATTGGTTTTGACTGGCGGCTCGAAAATAAACACAATGAATTTAATTAACTTGTTGTGTGCAATTAAAATGTCATTAGGTTATTATCAGCTTGGCATTATGAGAGGTTTGTTGCCAAAATGCAATGCGCCCTTGACATAAGCCGATATGTTTTTGGTTTTTTATTTTTTCGCTCGAAGGGTAGCCGGAGGGACAGACCTGAGGGCAATGTGCCAAAGTCAAAGAGTCAAAAGCAACCCCTGCCTGCCACGTCGCGCCTTTGTCTACTGTCTGCTGTTTGCCGTTTGTCTCTTCTTGTTGATGTTGCCATTTCAAATTGCCAATTATCGATGAATTTGCAAAAATACAAACAGACAGCGAGGCAGCGAAAGGGGCGCGCCCGTTGCCAGCTTAAGCGGCTCACAGTCCCTGGTTCCTGTGCACAGGACGTTTGGCATGTCCTGCCTGTCAATATTTTGCAAGTTGGGTTTTTTTTCCTTCTCGCTCTCTCTCTCTCTCTCTCTCTCTGGGCAGGGCTCACATGGCACACAGTGCTGTGCAGCAAGGGTTAGGCATCCCTCCCCGCAGTCTTCGGTCCCCTATATCGACCTGTGCTGTGCTGTCTGCTAGAATTATGCAAATCAAATGGCACATATCGATGTCAGTTGCAATATTATTGCTGCAATTGAACATTCTGCCATTGAAGCAATCAACGCTTGCCAAAAGGACAGACGCATTTTGGATGGGGCTTTGCGTGCAGCAGGACTTGGGCGTTGTCTACTTGTGGGCCAGAGCTAAATTGATTCTTTTGCCAGAGCTGAAAATGCACTTAGAATGGTTTTGCCTTTGCATTTTTTAAATGGTTTCATGACCGTTGGTAACGCCTTTTTTTTTACAACCAAAATCGACAAAATCCCGAGAAATGGCAGAAAATATTAATTGAAATTTGAACTAGCAGCTGCTTGCTTTTCGTGCTCGATACACCCCTTTTCGGCTAGCTTCCTTTTTCAGTATTATTTTTTCTCGAGCAAATGTATTTACATATGACTGCGTCTGTCAAAAACTTTTAAGAAAACCAAAGAAAAAACGCATCACATAAAAAAAGGTTTTGCTTTTAATAGAGAAACCTAAGCAAACAGCAGAGCATGAAAGAGTTGGGACTCGGCTTGGTTCTGGTTCTGCGATTTCCTTTACAAATCGATGCACAGAAAATGGAAGAGAAATGAAAATAAAAGTAGAAATTAATTCAGCAGTAAATACAATATACAGCGGCTGCGGCTGCTGATGCTGCTGCTGCGACTTTTGCTCCTGTCGCGGCGGCTGCTATTTAAAATTCAAATTACAAATCCTTTTTTTTTCTGGCATCAGCATCAACAGCCACATCACGGGGACGCTTGGTTCGGGCAGAGACCCCTTTCATATTTGGATGGTTTGCATGGACTTAGTTAAAATTCGGCGCACCGACTCAAATCGACCCCTTGTAAGCCCTCCGCCTGCTCGACTCGTTGACTTTCTTCGCTCGAGCTGAACCCCCTTGAGCTGATGTCATTGTCCTGGTCTGTGCCCGGGATGAGACGGTCGCAACTCATTTGAATATGCGGCTCCGTTTGTATCTCTGTGCGTGAGAAAATTGTCAGCATATTGATTCAATGATTATTAACAGCTATGCGCATATATAATTGCTCTGCCCAGTTGTCTTTCAGTTATCTCAGTTGCATTTACATTGCATTAAGCTGAAGTGCAAATATGCAAACGGCCGCAGAATTTGACAAATATTTGCACAGCACCCAAAACTGATTGACAGCCAAATGGGTATTCGAAGCATAGGCAAACTCTTTACCAAGCCTTTGCCTCTCAACTCAATTCCCGCGCAGCTGCTGCTGCTGCTGCTGTTGCCTCTGTTGCTGGGTCCAGGGACAAGACACTAATCAACTTCATTTACATGACGCGCAGCTGACCCTTGTCTCTTTGCCGGTAACAGTGGAGTCGGGGTCAACGCTGCTGCTGATTAGCCCAAAATAGAGGCGTAATTAGGCGACGGGCGCAGCTTGGAAAAAAGGTCGACATACACACATACACACACACATATACTGCTATAGAGAGGCGGTGCCGGCGCGCACAAAGGATCAAATGGTTTTTATAGCTACTATGCTCTCTACTATCTAATTTAGCCTCACCGCCTTTTATATGCTTTTCGGACCCATTCCTGTTCCCATTCTCATTCCCATTCTATGGCTGACTGCGCCGCTGTGCATTTGGCAGCGCGCAGCTCGGAGTCTTGTTTTGCATGTGGAGGGCATTTGTTGACGCCGACGTTGATGAATGCGCCGCCACGCCAGAGAGCGCAACTACAACGCACTTGCTACCAAAGCAAGAGCCAGATCCCCAAGCCAAAGGCAAAGCCAACACACAGAACCAAAACTGAAACCTAAAAACCAAAACCAAAAACCTTTCGCGCTGCTTAAATTCCTAGCCATCAAAGTTGGTGCTGTTGCTGCTGCTGCTGCTGCTGTTGCATGTGGCATATTTGCTTGTTGGCTCTTTGGCTGCGGCATTAATCAGTTGGTGGGCCAGGGCTGGGGTTGGACGTGGCTATGGGCCCTGCCTGTCTGGCTGCCAAACTATGCGCCATGCCCATGAGCAGGTCTAGCTCCCATCTATCTCTCCTCTGCTGCTGCTGTTGCTGCCTTATTATTCCACTGTAATTAATAAAGATTAAGCGCTGTGACACAGCCAGCAGCAGCAACAGCAGAAGCAGACGACGGGGCAGATGAGCAGGCGGGGTGACAAGTCAACAAAGTTTAAACAGACGAGAGAAGCGGGCAAGTTTTACCATGCAGTTCGGGTTAAATGCCTGAAACATTTTTAGTTGCTCTGTAATTTTGGCGTTCACTTGATGCCATTGTTGTTGTTCTGCTTGTTATTGCTGTTGTTGTTGTTGGGCAAATGATTATGCACTTGACAGTTTCAATATTTTTAGCATAACAAGAAACAAGAGAAAAGTGAGAAGATTAATGAAGAAAAGTTTTTAGAACAGCAGACAGTAAAATTAGTACATGTGTGTATATAAAAATAATCTTCTAAGAAATATCTGCACATGAATACGCTTAAAATGTGGCACATTTCAATTTGAAAACTTAATTTATGCATTTGTTATTTATTTAAATACTTCACTATCTTGAGTACTATTTTAGCTTCTCGAATCTTTGCTTTCAACCCTAAAAGAAGGATACAATGCGCATGTGCAAATGTAAAAGACAGCAAAAGCATCTTCTATCCCATAAAGTATATATATTATGATCAGTTCTGTGTGATCTCGCGTCGATCTCGGAAAATTGAAAAGCCAGAGACTTCAAAATCAAAATATATATACTCTTGCTTACCATGCGAGAAACAAGTTTTTCATTCTTATTTTTCAATATCTTCTCTCACTTTGATAAGCATCGATCATGATTTTGTAAGCATACCTCGAAGATTATAAGAGTTTTCTACACCAAAAAAGACAACGAGTATTTTACTTTTTAGTCACTGAACAAACTGCATTTACGCACTTGCCTGTGAAGCACCCCCACATGTTTATGTTCAAACTATAAATCATTCTATGTATACTCTTTATGTATGCATCTTTATGCTTAATTTATATCCCAAATGCATTATGATCATTTATGATATCTTTCGACTGAATGGTAATAAACGGATCGTTGAATATATATATATATTTTTTTTGTATCCGATTGGATCATGTGATAAAACCGTCATAAAATTGCATATAGCTCACATAAATTGTCATCTCTGGATCTTTATGCCTTATTTGTGGTTTTAATAAGGTCTCACGTTGCACGATTTGCATACAACTCGAACCCACACGGCCATAACATATGGCAATAAACATAAACTAAGATTAATGCATTCATATATCACTCAATATGCGACCAAATGATCCATTAATAGCAAAAACTCTGAATGCCTAACAAGCGTTGTAAAAACAAAATTCGCCTTAATAACTGCGAGAAACTTATGAAAAATAAATTCAAATTGGGTCACAAAGTGCAGCGTAGCATGTGTATGTGTGTGTGTATCTATAAAATGTATATAAGTATCTATGTATCTGTAGATTCATGGAACCGAAATCGAAGTCGAGGCGTCGTCTTCAAAGTTGTCGTCTGGTGGGCGCCCAGTTATATCTGTGTGCGTGTGTGCTTGTGGTGCTGGTGTACTTATAGTTAATTGCACTGGTAATTAATAATGTTATTTATTAGACACACACACACATTTAGAGAGACACACACTTACAAGCACATAGATACATGCCTTTATAGAACGACGATGACCTCACCCAAAATGTGCGCCGACTCGTGCCCATCTTTTTGCTGCTCTGCTCTGTATGTGTGTCATTAAGTAAATTAAGTAAATAAACATATGCCAGCCACTGTCCCAACACTGAGCCATAATTAATTGCCAGTCAGCCGGTGCTCGTTTTAGCTGCTGTGACTGCGACTTACCCCCAGCAAAGCTGCCACCGCCACTGCCACTGCCATTGCCTCTGCCACTGCAGACAGCTGCCCCTTCATTTGTTCATCTGCAGCACAAGCGCGTTAGTTGTTGCGCCCTTTAAGCAGGCGAAAAACGCCTCAACTTTTAGGGCCCGACCAGACCAGACAAGGCCAGGCCAGGCCAGGCCAGTTCAGTATCTGGCTCAGACTTTTGTTGTATGCGCATTTCAACGCCTTCATTTGCATGCGTTTTATGGCTTAATAGTCGCAGGACACATCCAACAAGAGAAAGGCCGCTGCTTATCTGCTCAACGTTTTGGGGCAATAGATTATTGATAAGCAGCCGAACAACAGCAACAACAACTACAACAACAACGACCCGCGAAACATTTGCATTTCATTGACGCCCAAGAAAGGGTAGCCCTCGAGGCTGCTTAAAAGGCAAAATGAGGAAAGTTCGCAGAAGCATTTGTCTTTTCTCTGCTTATTTTTGAATACCCTTGCAGAGGGTATTTTTGATAATGCCACGAAGTATGTGACGCACAGGAGGGCATAACTTCGAATTTGCCGTTTTCTTTGTTGCAGGCATGTGTCGGAATTAACCAGATCCGTCTATATCATATAGCTGTAAAAGCAATGAGCAGTCGAAACTTAATTTCTAACATAAAAAAACAGTCGATGAATAAGACCAAACATTCTAACATTCTGACCATCGTACTACAATATCATATAATAGTTCTATTGAAGGTAAAATCGTTTTAAGCAAGAGTGTTCATTGGTCGACTTGTCAGAGCCCCTCTTGTTTTTGTTTTTTGATGGCAACTTCCACGTAATTGTGTGAGGTGCCCAAGCTGTTGTTCGTTGTTGCTGCTCCTTGGGCCACGTCTGCGCATTTAACTTACGCATATTGCGGCACCTCATCAGATCTGGCCACTGGCCAGAGGCACTGGATCTGGAACTGGAGCTGAAACTGTGCTGGTCACTTTTGAGCGGTCCGGCAAATTGAGACACAACTCGACAGGAGCGGCTACAAAAGCATTTAATTTACTTTTATGATACCAGCACGATTTATTGAAATCGTTTATCGATTGTTGTTGCTCTGCAACGTCGCTGCTCGAGTGCAATGCGTACGCTGATATACCCTGTATTGTTATGTAAATGTAGCTAAAGGCGTAGTTCAATTCCAAGGTACTCTGATATAAGTCTTGAAAGTCGATTTGATATGAGCTCAAGGATATTTGAAAATAGAGTAATATCTTGGACTCGGTACAGAGAAACTCAAGGTCGATGTCTTTTCTGCAGTTAGACTTGAATTAAGAGTAAATGGTCGTCGCTGCCTTATTTCTTGCTTGAAAGCGTTTAAGAATCTATTATTTAATATTAATATAAATACGATAAAACTTATTTATGAGAGTCTTGTGTATTAAAATGTCGACATGTTTATTACAGTAAGAATATTAAATGAATATATTCTTATAGACTAACCATATCTGATTTTATCCGAACCTGCTTTAAGGTTCGAGTCTTGAATTCTATATTAAGAAAACTCCATTCACCGTACTGCATAATGTTATATATTATGTTCTCAATGTGCTAACCTTTAGTTTTTATGGCTTGGCTGGCATTTCAAACTCATCTCCAATTATGCTAATTATACGATTGAATGGCGGCTGCTGCAGTCTGCCAATTGATGATAGCCAGATCATATGAGCCATATATGAGCAGACGTGTGCCCCTTTGGCAAGTGTCTGGGCTGCCATTTAGTTAAACACATCAGCGCATTTGTCAGCCAAATGTCGACACTCGTGCCGGGCACATAAAACTGTGTATCAATAACAGAAATTGCCAATTGATAGGCGAGTGAGTATCTACGATATCTGGCCAGATCGAGTCGTTGCATTCTAAAGCTCGCCTGTTTGTAATCTGAACTATTTGCATATTTATAAGTATTTGCATAGCAGCCAGTACGCCGGTACGCCGGGCGTTTGTCCGTCTGTTCGTTTGTCCAATTTATGTTAATTGCATAGAGCTATGAAATTAATACTTTTTATCGCTTGCTCAATCGCCGCGAACTTGTAGCTCACATGTTAGCTGTAAATTAAGTTGACAACTTGCCGCTGCCGCTGACACAGCTCTCAGCTGCTCCACAGCTCCGCAGCCTAACTGGGCTCCAAGCAGTTGGAGTCCAAGTCTGACTTGGTGCTGTTTGGTTTAAAGTCGTTCAGGCGCACAATTAAAATTAGATTGTTGCACAGATAAATCAGTTACTCAGCTGGCGTTATGGACTGCTCTCTCGTGTAAGCCTCAATTATGTTTTGAATATACTCAGTACTGTGCGCTCAAAAAGTGCTGTTGGCCAAATGCCTCATTGACATGCTTGAAACTTGGCAAGAGCTCATATCAATGGCTCAAACAAATTCAAATATTAAAGTGTCTGTGACCGGCACAAAAAAAAAAAAAATAACATAACAGAAAAAATAAACTCTCGGAGCTGTCTCTGTCAGCTGTCCAACACAAAATGTCCGGTGATGATGACGACAAAGCCGACGACTTCAATTGACGTTGCCAGCTCGCATCGAGTGGCCGACGTTACTTCTGGCCATAGATTCAGTTGTGTGTGCCTATTTGACAGGCAGTCATTGAGTTGGGCCGTCAGTTCGTCAATTCGTCAGTTGGGTACACTTTACTACGCAAATAGTAGCCACTATTTAAACGGCAAAAGCAACTGCCATTAGCTATGAGCCAGCGGCCTATGTCTGGGCCTGGGCCTGTCTCTGTGCTTGTGCCTGGGTCTACGCTTGGCTGCCTACACTGTTGGGTCGGGCCAAGCCTTTTGCCAGCGGTTCGACTCCGATTGCTGCTGTCTTCTCTATTATTTAGCAAATATTTAGAATATTTGAGCAACAGCTCCAACGGCCGACACTTGCCCACTTGGCTACCGCGCGCGCTTGGGCAAACAAATCATGTGCATGTGAAGAATCGAACTGAAGAACTACAGGTTGAAGTTTCTTTTTGTTTATTACTTTTTGTTTCTTGTTTAAATATTTAAGAGCGCGGGCTCTTGTTTTACTTCTGCGTGTGCGTGTGTGTGTGCATAATGCAAGCCTTTTGGCAAAAATAAAAAAACTTTCTATAAACATGCTTGCGAGCCCAAAAGCCACCTGCTGTTGTGCATCCAAGCTACCTAGCTGCCAGGCTGCTCGGCTGCCCGGCTGCCTGGCTGCCTGGCTGCCGTAATGGCCTTTAACCTCTGCGAACTGGTCAGGCGCAGGCTTGTAGTGCGCACAGTAAGTTGGTAAGCTTTGTATCTGCATCTGCATATTGGCCAGACGACGTTGTTAACAAGCTTGTTAATAAATTACAAACAAAATGGCCATAAAAAATGCCAGGCATAAATCAATGACGCCTCCTCTTCCTCGTGGGCAGCGCTCCTGGACCCCGCACGACTGCCCGGTTTGGTTATGAGTTTGCTTAGCTCTCAGCCAGCAGTTTTAATAGCCAACAACTAAGAGGCCACAGCTCTTTGACTATATGCATAAGTAAATAAATAATAGCAAGTGTGGACACAAAACAGACAACGAACAACGCAGTCGGAACTCATGTATAATGTGCTATTATTGAAATTGATAGAGCAGAAAACGAAAATTATGCTATGGCAACAAATATCGAAACCAAATAAATTCAAATTAATCAAATGGGGGCCGCTTCCCAGCAGCAACAATGCAGGGAAAATACTTCATTAAAATGCGCGACATGCATAAATCAATTCAATTAGTTGCCATTATGCTAGACATTATGCTTATCTTTATCTGTTTATCTGCCTTCTAGAATTGATAAAAGCTTAGCTTTGCAAGGTTTTCAGGCGGGCGTGCTTGTTACCTTGATCACATAAGCTTAAGAAAATCCCGTGCAGCTATTCTCAGCTCAGATCAAAAGTGAATGCTATTAACAAGTTTTTAATAGTAGATTTTTAAGTATCTTTTAATATTTGTAATTATTGTAATTAACGTAACACAGGTGCCAATTTGACTAACGTTTATTTTCATTTTCTCTGTCTTTTAAACATCGGCATTTCATACAAAAATTAGTTGAAAGTGTTTATAAAAAGTTTTTTGTGTTGATAACCCGAAATCTTTATCATAGCATAAAAATAAAATTTAGGTGTTTCCTGTGGCAGCCCAAATCTAACTTAAGTAGCCTATTTTTTGGCTCTTATTACACAGCTTTTAATATTTAGCACGTATTTAAATTGATTGCTGCGTTGCAGTTAGATTTTCGTGATAGCAGATTGTTTGAAAGATATGTATGTGCGTTTTTCATGTGCTTTTTAGGTGTTGAACTGAAATTAGCCACTGAGTAGAGAGACTGTTCCTTTTTTTTATGGCATATGTAAGCTCTCATTGCAGTTCAGTGTCCGACAGCTATTGCATACGAAATGCAAATGGCATTTAGTGAATTCAACAGGCCGCAAGGCACATCGTTATATTGCTCACTCGGCTCAATTTTATGGCCCTGCTCATTTCGTGTCATAAAAAAACATTTTCAACACATATTTTTTAACGACAAGTGACTATAAAAGTGCTTGGCAACAGCAACAGCAACAGCAACAACAACAACAACAACATGTCCGAATAATAGCAAACATGAAGACGACAATAATGAAAACTTACCCAGCATTTGCAGCTTGTGGCCCAAAGGCGTTGGCGTTGCCTCTCCGAAGGCGACTGCAATAAACAGAGTGGAGAACACAATGTACGAATTATAATAATAATATATGTATAAGTGTGTCTGTGCTGAATATAAACTGTATGAGTAGTGCGATATGTATAGGTAGGTAGGCACATGGCAGGACAGCAGCCCCCCCTAGTTTTAGTTTTTTGTATTAAATTAGCCAAAATCACGATGAATTTATAAAACTAAGACAAAATTTCTAAAGCTAACGCACACAAAACAGACGCCATGTCATGTCAGATCATTAAGAAAATATGGTCAAAAATGTTTCAATTAAAAAACCAAACTAGACGAAGGCATTAAAACTCACACAAGCACACAGAGAACTGAATGAAAACTGATTGTAGGCGGACAAGTTTGCCATAAATTGTGTAGGCTACTTTACTGTCAAGTCATTAACAGCAACAACAACAACAACAACAACAACAACAGCAACAATGGCAACAACAGTGTGTGGCAAGTGAATCATTAACAACAAAGGTAAACCAAAAAGCGAATGAGTCTTTTCTGTTTTATCTGCCGCAGCTCAAATTCAAAGTTAAAATATATTTAAAAAAATATATATAAAAAATTGTGGGTTGCATTTTGGTAGCTCTGCGCAAAGTAGTCATATCATTTTTTAATCTTAAACTTTTATAAGTAGTTTGATTTTTTTCAAGTAAATAAATTTTACAAACTTGGGTTTTGATTCTATTTGTGTATTTGGCGAATCGTTGCCACGTGCCCGGACAGTTTATGCAAATTATTTGATGGTCCATAACATTTTGTAGCGCATTCGAATTAAAAAGTGGTTTTTATAACTTTTAGCTAGCCATAAAAAATAAAATAAACAGACACACTCACACACATTACGTGATTATTTTTTTTATATTTTTGTTTTTTTTTTTTTTTTTTTGTCAGGTGCAATAAACTGTGGCGGATTTGTGTGATCTGAGCTATTGAATTTCTCAGCTTGTCAGTTTTTTGTATTTTTATAGTTTCTCAGTTGGTGTGTTGTTCAATTTATGCATTGGCCACAGGCCGAAATAAAACTGAAACTTAATAGATGCGAAAGCCAACAGAATTCGCTGCGCTTTAAATCGCAGTTGAAACGCGCACAAATCGCTCGAACAATGGGCTCCAAAATAATGAAACTAATTGAAACTCAAGCGAAAAAATACATATGCTATAAATAATATAAAAATGTACATTTCAAAGCTGTCCAAACTGACATTGAAAACGATTTAAAAAATTGATAAATCGGTTGCAAGTTAAAAACTTTTTAATTTAAAAGTTCAAAACTGGTGAAAAATGAAGCATGTGACACTTGCGTCTTGTGCACTTCTCGCTCAGCTTTTGCATAAGCATTTCTCTGAAGTTTTCTACTTTCAGATTATCTACAAAAACAGCCTAAAATTGAAAATCATCATATCTGAACCGATCTTCAGAAAAAAAGCCAACCTTTCTGCTGTTGTTGTTGTTGCTTTTGTTTTGTGCACGTCATGGCCTCACGGCTTGTGTCAAGGCACAGACACCCACAATGCTGTCGATGTCGGCACACTATAATGGAAAAATAAATCTTCAGTATGGTACAAAAAACAACAACAAGAACACAGCGAAAAGCTAAAAGCCATGTAGCCAACAAAATTTTGAAAAGGCGTTAGATTCGATTCGGGCTCGCGAGTCGCGCGTCTCGCGCGCGTTTTTTAGTTGCGCACATCAAAGCGTCAAATGCCGCTAAACAAAATGCCCACACTTGGCCATATGTGTGTCTGTGTATGTGTATGTTTGTGTGTGTGTGTGTGTGTCTGCTTGTGTGCAACAACAATTCAACAAATGCCTAATTGTCTTGGCGGCACTCGTAAAACCTACAAAATTATTACGGCTGCAAAGGAGAAAAATAAGAAGAAGAAAAACACAAAATAATGCGCCACTTCACATGTTGAGATCGTTTGGATCGGGTTCGCAACTTGGCGAGAAACGGGGGCGACAAAAGTGCCAAAGGGTAAACTAATGACAGTTTAATTTACTCCCATTGCGATGAAGTGTAACGACTCTCAAAACTCAATTAGACCCGGCCGGGCAGGTAGCCAACTGAGCCAACTGGATGGCACGAATCGCCGCTTTTGGCCAAATGCGGCTCTAATGCGACATCGACATCGACATCGACTACGGCTGCGACTGCGACTGCGACTGCGGCTGTTGCAGGTGCAACATTCGCCTTAAAAATGCATAATTTGTTGGCTTTATGAGCTGCTCTCAAGGGGCACAGGGATCTTCCCTCGGCCATCTCAATTAATTCGCCTAGTTTATGTTTATGACGCCATTTGACGCATATTTCTGGGCCATAAGTTTCGATAAAAACGGCAACTCCTTTTACATAATGAACTTTTACGCAATGCGTATCTCATAGACAGCAAGCCGCATAGTTCGCCAACGACTGCGTTCGCGTCTGGCCCACCTGTGACCTGTCTGTGAAATTTATGTTATTAGGGTCGTAATTTTCTACAATATTATTGCATTTATATATCGTAGGCGATGCGCCTAATGAGTTTTTCAGTTCGTCTCCTTTAGCGATCTTCGTGGCTAAAAATTTATGCATCGGCATTGTTTATAAGGCCCCAACGGTGGGCGGTTGTGTTTCCAGTTACCAGTTACCAGTTACCAGTTAGCTGGTTGTGTTTTTGAGCCATTAAATTGCGAGATGTGTTTTTGAACTGCTTAGGGTTTTTAACATTTTTATAGCAATGCCGCAACATGATGGTATTATTGTTGTCGCTGTTGCGGCTGCTGCAACGCCCATGCGATTGCTCTGAGTGCTGTGCCATTATGTGGGCGTTAGCAAGTGAGGTTGAGGTTGAGCACTAAAGGATCACGGCTATGAGACAGCCATTTACCAGCAAACACAGAATCATTATGTTGTGGCTAATTGGCAGACCTAAGATCAAGTTTAAGCACCGAGTGTCTCAGTCACTGGCATATATAGAAAGCATGATCGTTGATCATGGCGACTGTTTAGTTTATTTCAGCTACATATTTGATACTCACAAGTCATGCGACACATGCCACAAAGTATCTTTCACCTTTGACTTGCATGTCCCGAAGAGAGGGCGGCCGTGATGAGGTCACGCCCCGCATATCGCAGCCATCAACAGCCGTCAAGTCAACCACTAAGCAACACCTATCCATCATGTGCCGAAAACTAAAATTCAAAAACTCCAACCATCACTTGAGCGGAGCTGTCATGCTCCAATTTCGAATGCTTTTCAGTGGCTGCTTAGAGTGGATTGTGGTGCAGTGCACTTCCTCATCGATAGCCTTTCACGGCACGTCAAAAGACGATGCGACGCTGTCGCGCTGCCAACTGAATTCAATTAGAAAATACAAAAGAAACAAAAACCCAACAGACGGACGGACAGACAAAAAGGCATTCTAACTAAATGGCATTCACCTGTCCAGCAGAACAACTTCTCACACAGGCACACTCACACACACATGTGTACAGCTGTCAATATGTTGGCGCCAAACGAGAATTTTGTTCGAGTCAAAGATCCATGGCCATCCATTAAATGCCTACCGTCAAATCATTATTCATTTTTTACCCCCTGTCCCGCACTGCCCGTGCCTAGAGTTCTTCTTCCACATACACGCTGCTTATGCGGTGTGTTCTTCAGCTATTAGGCGCGGCCACTCCTAGGCACGCAGACCAATAAACCAAGCAGGCAGCTGTGGGCACAGGTAGGGCCAATCTATGCAGCCAGTTTGCACCTTGCGCAACTGCGAGCTGGAAAAGAAACCCCAACGAAGGCAACAGCGACAAACGATCCTCACTTATTCGGTTGCATTGCCCGCGGCGCAAGGAAGGTTCATTGATACTTTGTTGCAAGCAAGTAAGCGAGCAGCAGCTAGCAGCAGCAGCAGCTCAGGTGCTCAATCAAAAGTAATTAATGGGCAATCGGAATTTCATAAAGAGCCAAAGGGAGATACAAAGTTGAAGATGCAGATGCTCGGCGCAACGTCTAGTTGACTAGATGGAGAGGATGTTTGCCCTGTAGAGTTTCATTTTTACTTGTTTTTTTTTTCTTTTTTGCTATTGAAATGTCAGTTGTTCATATGTTTTGTGATTGCCTTTGCTAATTTGCTATTTGGCCGGCATGCAATTTGCAGATACAGATACAACTGACCAGCGTATGCCAGATGCGGTCGCCGAGATATGGCGGCAAGTGCATTAGCCAACTTTGTTGCCAACATACCAAATGCCAAACCAAACGCCAAAAAGCAAAATCAAAAGCAAAAAGGCGACACGAAACTTTATTAGCCCGTTGACGCAAATTAACGGTGACCGCTTCCATTTCGCATTTCAAAGCGTCAAACGGCCCCAACTGCTGCCAATGGGTTGGTCGGTTGCTCGGTTGCTCGCCCGGCGGCGGCGGAGTGCGGCAAGTGCACAACTGCACCACCGGCACCCCATGGCTGCTGCCAGCAAAATAATTTGTAAATGTCAGTGCATTTTGACAGTTTGCGGTGATGTTTTTCAAATTACAACTTACAACAGCAGCAAAGAAAAACTCAAACATAAATGAAAACAATTTTCGCAAAATGTAAATGCAAAAATAAATGAAAAATGCAAAAAAAAAAAAAATGGACAAAAATTCCGGAAAAAAAATGAAAAACACAATTTTTAAATTCTGTTTTTATTAATACTTGCGTTTGCCATAATACTTTTTGGCACTGCGAGACTCTATCAAAAATATTCCACATTTGAATTCTAAATGGATTTGCCAGTTGGAAATGAGCGTGTGACAAGACTACTAAATGCCAGCAGGAGAACAAGGCACATGGGGCTAAGAAAATGAAAAACTAAATTTTACACTTACTTTGAGTATAATTTATAGCTATACTTGTATTTAATTTAATTATCTCCCGCAGTAAGCCAGAATATAATTAAGTTTATAAATGAAGCCTTTTGCATTTCCTTGAAATGTTCAGGTTCTGCCCAATTATAAACTGATTCTGTTAGCTATAACAAAATTCTATTAAGTGGCTCTTACTTTTTTACTTATAATTTGATCAAATATAGTTCGGAGACATCCCATTATATAATTAAATCTATTCATCTATTCATTCTTTGTAAGTTTTCTCCTTAAAGTTAAGGTTCTGGCCAATTAGAAACTGACTCTGTTAGCTATAATGCAAATCTGTTAGGTGGCCCTTACATTAATATTGTTAACAGAAATGAAAGAATTTGTTAGTTAAAATTGTTAAAGTATTACAATCTAGCTTTCTTTATCAATATTTTCCTATTAGCACAATAATAGTATTTCCATTAGGATTGTGAAAGGACTTTTGGCCCAAAAGCTTAATTCCGTTATTAAAAATAGACCCAAAGCTAATATAAGCCCCTGTTAATTAACTAGCCTGGCTTTTTATGGTTTAATGCAGCGATAAGCCACGGTGCAAATGCGCTTAAGCTCTTGTGAAAGGCCCGAGTGGCCCGAATGGCACTTTCCCCTGACCAATGCCAAGTGCAGCTCGGGCTCAAGATTTTGTCAGTGCTTTGATTTGCCTGGCTTGAAATAATTAGCTAACGAGAGAGTCTGCAGACTGGCTAATAAAGCAACCGAAAGAGAAATATAGAATGTTTAAATAAACTTCGGGTGTAGTTAAACGGCAATTGAGACCGAGTCTGGCCTGAAGAAGTTTACAAGGCATGCGTGGAAAATTAAGTTCAAGTTATTTTAAAACAGATTACAAGGCACAGCATGTAGGTGGGGGGAAGAGTACCAGGAAGGTGGAGCGACCAAATGCCAAACAAATGCGATAATAGTTGGCTAGACAGTAAAAACCAACAGCAACAAACAACAGCAAAGCCAGCAACAACATAAACAACAATAACAACAACAATGAAATTGAAGAAAATTATACTAAATTGGCTTCAATTATTGTATTAATTTGGGTTCCGTGTTGCTTTCCGGCTTATCCCTTTTTTCCACGTTGTTGTTGTTCTTGTTGTTGTTGTTATTGTGGTTCCTTTGTTGTTATTGTTGTTACTGTCTCGTTGGTTAGTTTTCGTTTGGTTTGGCTCTGGCTGAATGAGACGACCGCCTGGCGACTGGCGACTGGCGACTGGCAACTGTGGATTGCAATTATTTTGTTTCTAACTTGGTTTTGGCATTTCGATGGGCCACTTGGTCAAGTCTGGATCTCATCTTCCGCCGTGCCGAGTGCTGCTTAGTTGAGTTATTTCAAAATTATATTAGACAGCAGCCTGCCTGAAGAGATGCCAACTGCAGCTTGCCATTAAACAGCTCTAGCATTAGTTATTACAGTTGTTGTTGTGGTTGTTGGCCTCAGTGTCGTGCAGGAAGCAGCGCCATGGCGCTGGCCAAAAGGAAGCTGACGATTATGGCTCGTATGAGCCATGTACATATGTCTGTGATTACTGGTTTTTGGTATTAGTGGTAGCTTGCATGCATCTGACTCTGGCTCGGGGTCTGGGTCTTGGTCGTTCTCCTTTTTTTGCGCATGTTTGCAGCAACTGGGTATCAAGACAAGTCCAACCACAGCCGGAAGAACTTGGCCGTTTGACAGTTATCTTGAAACTGATTGTTAGACAGCTGCCAAGCGGTCTGCAGTTACTTTACACTTTGCCGTGTGATGTGCTTTGGGTGGTTAAATAATTTTTAAGTTTTCAAGAAATTGGAAGTCTTGAAATAAAAAAAAATTTGGTCAAGGAAACTGAGTTAATGGATTGGCTAAATTTCTAGTCTAAAGGAACATGATTTGAATTATTATTAAACAATTTATTAATGGCGAAGGATACACAATAAGCCATAAGCCTAACAGTCGGGTAAAACAGAACTCTATGTATCTACACACTCTGTTAGACATTAATTATTTTTCCACATAATATATATATTAAACATTTAGCCAAAGGCAATGATAATACACGTTTCAGGCATATTTCATTTTGAATTACGATATTTAAATATTTAATACTGTTCCTTATTAAACCACTTATGAACTCACCAATCGACTAAAAGCTTAACAGCCGCTTCAGCATTTAAGCACAAAATTTTGCGGCCCTCACACAAATGGACAAAATTGTCAAAATGTCGAAATTGCAAATTCGAAAGTGCAAACTGCAAGCTGCAAAATGCAATTTCCTTTCGTAAAAAGGTCACAAAACTTTTGCCGTCGCAAATTGGCGAACAACACGATTGCAACAATTTATGCAGTTCGCAGTTTTCAATTGTTTTCGTTTAACACACAACACACAAGACACTGCCAATATATAGTACGTAATATATATATATATATATTTGTTTTTATTTTGTTGGTTTTTGAACCCGCTAGGATACGCCATAAACGTATGTCGAAAGAATACGCGTGCAAAAAGTTCTCTGGTGAATTCTCTGGGTTTTGGCTGCCGCGCGGCACGAAAGCCAAAAAGCGAATGCGGGTTGCTTAAAAAGCGACTCGGACTCGGAATCGGAATCGGAATCGACGTCAAGCGGCAACGGCAACGGCAGCGGCAACGCCAGCTTTGGTCTTATAGGCCGGGCGGCACAGTTTGCAGTTGCTGCCGCTGCTGCCACTGCTGCTGGCGTCGTCAAGCGAGTCCGAGACCAATACAAGTTCCCCTCTATGTGGCTGTGTGTGTATATGTTTGTGAAATTGCAATTTTGCCAGCAGCAACAGCCATACAAACAGCAACAAGAACAGCAATCAGCAACTGCAACATGTTGCCCGAACTTTTGTCGCCTTGCAGCTTTGTCGCTCAGTGAACTCACCACAGTCGCTGCTGCTGCCGCTGCTGCTGTTGCCGCTGTTGCACGTGTTTTGGCTCAGGATTAGCCCTGGTGCAACAGCAGCAACAACTGTTGTTGTTGTTGTTGCTTGTGGGCTTGTCGCCTGACTGACATTTCCTTTGGACCTGGATGCACCTACGTGTGGCAGCAACAACGGGGCGGGCAGGTTTCACTCAGCTGTAGCTGTTGCTGCCGCCGCTGCTGCTGCTGCTGCTGCTGCTGATCGAAGTTGACATTTGCCAGGCGCTCAAAGCTCAAACACAGCCAGGGACAGAGAACCCTGACATGCGCATAAGGCCCCACACAAGAAAAATGAGGGGAAAACATTGCTGAGCAGGTGCTCGAGTGACTCGACGAGCGAATGAGTGAATCTCATTTCTCACATCAGTCGCCAATTGGCAATTGCATTGTTGTTGTCGTGCTACACCCACTTGCGGCAGCAACAACTGCAATTATAATGGGCAGGTGTTGCATGCAAATACTGAGCTAAATAAAGTAATATTATTTCAGACTTATGTGAGACCCAATTAAATGCCAATATACAAATCACATCTATCTTTGCTGTCTGGCAACATTTTTAAAAGTTTTGTTTATACTTTTTAAGCCATTTTGTGCATATTGCATATGTTCAATGAAACAAACAATAGTCATCAATCAAATTGCTGCCGCTCAATCACGTTTACAGCAGCAGCAGCAGCAACAACAACAACTTCTCATTTGCCAGTGGATGTGCTTATGGTTCAAGTCTGTGGCAGGCAACACGGCGTATGCGTTGCACGCCCCAAACAGAAAAACTTTGCTGGGAGCCTTGTCACAATTTGTGTGGTTATTTGTTTGCACTGTCTTTTGGTTTAATGCCGAGCTTGTTGGTGGGGTTGCTTGATAGCAATACCAACAATTTTGTGGTCTACTTTTGCAGCACACACCCACACACACACGCGTACGCACACAAAAGTTTTGCAGTAGCCATTAGAATTCGAGTTGGATTAGCAAACGGGCAAAAGGCGGCGACTCGAGCAGGCAGCAAAAAAGGTTTCAATAACAAACTGATGAACCTCAAACTGTAGGCCACATTCGCTTGGCTAATTACAATGGATACGCCCCGCAGCAGCACTTGTTTCCTCTGCGAGTATCTTTATTACATAATCTATGTGGCTCCGTCTGTGAGCCTGGTGCGGACGTGGCTGACCACAAAATAGACAAGAATTTATTTGCTCACCAATCAACAGATTTTCAACGAGTATTTATGGCATTTCCCTTTCCTTGAACAACACATGTTACTATTTTCACATGCAGCCACAAGAAACGAGACAAGCGATGGAGACGAGGGAGAGTGAGAGGCGTTGGGATAGCGATCTGCAGCAGACAAAGGGTCGCATATTTATTACATCACAAGAAGACAAAAGGAAGCAGAAGCAATCACAGACGGCTAAACCCACGCGGCTCTGACTGAAAACTGAAAGTGCCACGGTAGCCTATAGACCTACTTACGGAGCAGACCTCTATACGGAAGACAGTTGGCTTAAGAACAAGGGCTCGTTTCTTGCTGCTCCTGCAGTTGCCCGTACCAGGCATTGTTTCGCTTTCATTGCCTTGCCAGCGGAAAGGGGCAGCGACAATAAATCAAAGACATAAAGTTGAATGCACCAGCACCGAGCGAACGGATGCAAAAGTCGTCGCTTGGGAACCTGAAGCTGGGCCCGAACTCGGAGCTGGAGTTAGCAGTAGTTAACCCTTGCCTACCTCAATGCCGCTGCCAGGTCCGAATTGGAGGCAAATCTGAGTCGCAGTAGGAAAAACATGACAAAAAAAAAAAAAAAACAACCAAGAAGAAGAAAGGAAACAGGCAAGCAGGCAGGAAGGCTGGATGGCTGGCTGGCTGGCGACCAAGTGACGCAGTCGTCGCTTGAGAAACGTCAGCTGAGCATGATGGCGATGGCCACAAAGGGTTCAACAAGAACGAGAGGAACGCGGAGCAGGGGCAGTCGTCAGCCAACAAGATGAAATGATGATAATCCCCCTTTAATTTGTTTGTCTCTGCTGCAAGGACGAAAGGGTCTTGGCAGCGGTTAAAGTTGAATTCGTTGAGATGGAGTTGTTTTTTATTTTTTTTCGGCCAGCCAAATGCCGCAGCTCGATGCTGCTTTGCATTTAGAGATAAATTCTTGCAGCATGGCAAAGCGCAACGAATTTCCAGCAAGAGGAAAAGCATTTGCCCGATTAAAACCAAAGACGAACATTTACTCGAAAAGGGTTCGGCTCTTGAAAACAAAAAAATGGCATAATTTGCTTAAGAAAACTTTTCCAATTTATAAATGACAAACAAAGCGACAAAAAAAAACTGGGCATAATGAGCAAAACTTGGCGACAACTTTCCGAGGGGAGTAGCCAAATGAACGGCATTTTTCTTGCTCCCCTCGAAGCAAACGGAGTTTTTCTAATTAAAGTGCCGGCCATTTGCATAAAGGAGACGAGCATGGGCAAAAAGGACCATCCGTTTAGGCATTAATCAAAAGATCAGCTGAAAATTAAAAGCATAGCAGCTCAAAGCTGAAGCAGCCAGAGCAAGCACACAAAAATGGCAAAGGATTATTGACTAAAGGACCGACTGAAACTGAAAGGAGCCTTCATTTGGGGGAAAATTAATTGACAAAACGCTGACAAGATGAAATCAATTAATGTGTAGAAACTTCTCAGTGCCTTTTACTTAAATTATGAGCAAAAAGTTAGGAATGAAATATAAAGCAAATACGAGTATCGAGTGCGATGTGATAGCTGAGAAAATATAAAAAGACGGAGAAATAAGGTGATTTAAATATATATAATAATAATAATATGGAAAAGTATTATGCAGTAAATGAGTGAATTGAGCTGAATGGAAACATCATTCGGATAGAAATGGAAAAGGATTATTCACTAAAGAGAATGAAACGGAAAGGATCCATCACTTGGGATGAAATTAATGGCAAAAGTTATGCGCGAATGTGACATTTTGGATAAAAGGAAATTGTTGAAGAGCGAGAAAGAATGTTGAGTATACAAAACAATAAACAATAGTTGATTATTTTATGATCAAAGCTGACCAATGGCAAAGCAGGAATACTACCACATCATGGATTCTTATAAAAAATACACCAAAGATATCAGAGAAATCTTTTTCTGTCTTCCTTATATGCATTACTCAGTTCAACCACTATATACCTCAAACAAAAAGTAATATAGGAGAATCCCAACACAATCCGAAATTTAAATGGGTCACCATGCAACTAATTATTGCGGATACATACACACAAAGACACATATTCAAGGGCCCACACCTTTATGTACGCACTTAACACACACATGCACACACACGCACTCGCACACATCAGGAGAGACCCATCTTCATCCACAACCACATTCACATCATTCTCAACATCATCATCATTCTCAATATATATATAAAGACAAGAAAAAAAACAAACACATTTCACTTGCTATTATTTTGGTCCGTTGTTGTTCTTGTTTTTGTTTTCATACGAAATTAACATTTTTCCTTTTTGGCGCTCTCACGTTGGTTTTTTAATGATGAAACATTTTATTGCCATTGACCGGCACCGACCACAGACTCCAGTCCATACCCCAAATGCTGCTGTCAGTCCAGTCCAGTTCTGAGAGCTTCCGCTCCAGCCCGCACCCCTCGAACGGGCGCAACCGCACGAAATTGCAGCGTCATTGGCACCACCCAAAAACAAGTGAACGAGATCGACTGGACAAGTCAGCTGCAGGTTGATTCGACGTGGTTGGGTAGCTGGTGAGGATTTTAAGTGGTCCTTGATAAGCGGCCGGGCAACGTAATGCGAATGCCATAATGCGCTTTACCAAAGTACACAGCAATGCTGGCCGCATCGAATGTTGTTGTTCATTTTAAAGCACACTCTCGGCCAGGCCCGCGGATGGCATATCAATATTGGGGCAATCACAAAAAAAAATAACAACAAAAACAGCAAAATAATAAAAAGCAAGAAAGAAAACAACGCAATTTAATTTGATAGTCGTAAGCACCGAGATTCGAGCTTCCTTTGCCGCGTTGTGTTGCGAATGGCGTTAAAAATGCCACTGATTTAATTTATGTATGTTAAGGTGGCGTTCAACTGCAGTTTGCATTGAGAAATTAAAGGACTTGCCAATAAATACTTTCAAGTAATTAAGAAATTCAGCAAATGCTTAAGAAATCAAATCAGCGACCATAAAAAATAAGCCATAAAAACCTTTAAATAACAAATGAATTAATCAGTATTGATTTAAATGCATAAATCAGTTGTATAATTTAAAAAAAAAAGTTGATTCATTAATTTAAAATGTCAAACAAACCAATAAGTCGTTCTAAAGTATTTATATAAAAATATATTTAGAATATAAATTAGCAGAAAAAAAAACCCATAGGAGTATATTTATATATTAAAAATTTATCAACTGCTATAAATAAATACATAAATAAATTAGTTGACTCATAAATAACTGTTTTTGGACCAAAAATAACTGAAAACTTAACATTTAAATATGCTGAAATGCATATTTAAATATTCAAAGCCTTAGAAAACCCTTATTCAATAGTTAAACTCAAACATTGACCACAAAAAAGCTTAATATATTATAACATAAAGGGAACTAATGACCATGAAAGTACTTAACATGTAATAAATTAACATATAACTTAATTCAATTAAATAATTAACCAAAAGCATTGGCCATAAAAAAAAACGTTACACATAAAGCAGACAAAATTAACTTATTGAATAAACAGATTAAATTCGTATTATCAAAATAACCACAAAATACGCACATACAATATTAATTAATTGAAAAACATTTGCAATTGTCAAATGTTGTCTACACGTGGTTTTATGCAAATGAATTAAGACTTACTTGTTGCCCATTTTATGGATCCTCCCTGCTCTTGACGTGTGTTTATTTTGACTCAGCGAAAGTTTCCACTTGTTTAGTTAAATTTATGAATTCGCGCGCCACTTCATTTATATCGATTTTCAGTACAAAGCTGCACTCCAGTATTTATTTAGTTTGTTTGTGTAATGAAAACTGCCTTTTGTTCCCCCAAGCCCCCAAACTCAGTCAATGTTGCAGCAGGCACAACAGCAACAGCAACAGCAGCACAGCAGCAGCAGCAGTAACAACAACAATAACAACACAGGGACACGCGCACAATTCACCAACACATACGCACTTTGAACAGTTACAGTTAGTGGCTAACAAGTTGAAACTGGCCAGACACCAGACACCAGACTGTCAAGTGGTCCACGTTCCAGTCCCGAACCAGACAATAAAATTTGCGCCATAAATCAATTTCAAGTTGCAAAGTCGTCGTCGCTCGTTGCTCGTCGCTCGTCGCTAACTGCTGCAACAGTCAGCAGTCAGTTGGGACAGGCTGTTCTGGTCTGGCTTACTGGGTGCTTACTGTGGCACTGGCTGGCTGACTGGCCAACTGGCCAGGCTGCTCTTGACTATGACTAAGATTTATTTGTCGCGCTCTGTGGCAACTGAGAACTGGCAACAGCGGCTGCTGTTGTCATACTGCACAAGGCCAACCGGCAGGATAAACCACGGAGCCTGGGCCCGAACTTGTAGCTGGCGCACGATCCGCGCACTTCGCGGCGACGTCGACAGCGACCACAGTCCAAAGGGGGTGGCATTGGCCATGGCCCTGGTCCTCGTTCTGGTCCTGGCCCTGGTCCTTCTTGTTGCCTTGTTGTTGGTGGTTGCGCAAACCACCAAAATGGAAAAAATGAAAAGAAAAAAATAAAACCCGTGCACACCAACGCTCAATGCTGAACACTCAAACACACACACACACACATGCATATGCAAATTAACGGCAGTTTGTTGGTGTTGAAAATAAAAATGGAGCAGCCGCAGCAGCAGCGACGTTAACCGCAGGACAACGCAGCTCGCTGCCTGCGTCGGCAGAGCTGCCATCATTTTTTTTTTCTAATGAAGCGATTTTTGAGTTGCACTCAAAGCTCAAAAAAGCGGAGAATGCTCCTCAAAAATAAAAAAAAAACTAAAAGTCTATAGTAGCAAAAAGAATTTTTCAAAAACGACATAAAGCAACCCCGGCTAAAGAAAAGACAAACAAATGTCAGCGGAACTGAAAGATGGACAAGCACAGAACACCAGAAGAGCGAATGTGTGACTAGTGTGAATCAAAAGATACAGCAATACATAGGAGCACGCACGCACACACACACACACTCACTCACACACACACACATAGAGCTGCCAATCTAAACAACTACTAAATCAAACTCGCAAACGCAGGCGTCACGCGAATAAAAATACAATTGTATGCACACACGCACACTCACATCAATGCATGTATATAAAGTGTGCATGTGTATGCGTGTATTCACCTAGCAACAGCGAGCGACCCAAACTCTCTATTCACCAATACCAGAAGCAGCAGCCATCAATACACGTGCCGCACACTATATACAAAATTTATGTGAACAGTAAAAGCAGAAGAAGAAAAAAAAACACAAAAATATAAGGGAAAAAATATTTGCCACCCTGCCACAAAATGAGGGTGACTCGCAACAAACCACCCACAGAAACCACCGGCATTTGAGTCACAGTCACTGGCAAAATACAAAAAAAAAAAAAAAGAAAAATAAGAGAGAGAAAAAAAAACACAAAACACAAGAACAACAACAAAATATACTAAAAATCCAATATGGCTACAATTTGCCAAAGCGGCCGAGAGCAAAGGCGACGTCGTCGCGAGAGCGCGCGCAATAACAACAACAACATCAGCAACAACAAGAAGCATGAGAACGATAAAAAAAATGTACATGGAACTTTTATTTGCCCTGGCAACGCAGCAGAAGGGCGCTCATCGCCGAGGGGTGGGTGGGCGTCAAGTGGCGCGCAGAATTTATATCTAAAAAGAAAAAAACTCCGCCCCCTTTTCAAGACAAGCGTCTGCGCGAAGGTAGCAATGCTGGCGCAACGCCAGCAGCGCCAACAGCAGCAGCAGCAGCAGCAACAGCAACAGCGGCGGCAGCGGCAGCGGCAGCAGTGACAGCGACATTGGCAGCGGCAGCGGAGAGTGTCAAAGGGAGAGTGTCATCGTGATATCGTTGAGCGCTTGGCTGATGTGTTGTTGCTCTCTCGCTCGCTCGCTCGCACGCTCGCACGCTCTGAGTAATTAAATGCTTATTAACGGTTCGCTGAGTCTGTGCGCCATCTAAAAACTCGTTAGCCTCGATATAATTAAACTCAGTTGCTTTGCACTCTGAGCTCGCGGCTCTGAGTGTGATGTGAGAGTGCAGCGGCAGCAGCGCCTGCAGCAACCCCTGTAACTCACACTAGCTGACGCTGCAGCCCTGCAACCCCTGCGCCCGTCAACCCGCCTACCATCCACTGCTGCGGCTAGCACGTAATGCAAGTTTTTGTTGTTGTCGTGTTTCTTTTTGCGGCTTCTGCAATTCTTTTTTTTTTTTTTTTTTTGTTCCACTCCTATGTTTTTCTTCTTCTTCTTTTTTCGTGTGTTGCACTTTTGACGCCATTTTGAAAATGTAATTGTGTGCATTTTAGCAAGTGATTGCCATAGGCAGAAAAACTACAACAACAACAACAGTTAGAGCGCACACACACATATGCGCGCACATGTGTGTGGAATCTGCATTTAAGGGTCACATGTGTCAGCCAGTCTTTGTAGGCCTTCTGCAGGCTGCCATTCAATTATTGTAAAATTATGATATTAGCCAGAGTTTAGGGCAACTATTAACTATTATTTCTAGCATAGAACTAACTAGTTGTGCGCTTAGCCAAATTGATGGGATATTTAGCCATGCTACTGGCTGCTTTTAGCCATGCTTCTGGCCGATCATTAATCTTGCCTCGTGGCTCTTAGTGGCTTGCAGGTCTGCTTTAATAGCCGTTTTAATCTAGTTTTCGCTATTTTTGGCCATCAGCTTTTGTTGCGCCCCATTCAGAAAATGTAACAATAATCATCCAAATAGTTTTCGCATTCGTATTCAGCTGGCGGTGGCAATTAAATCGAGCTAATATCGTATGATAAATTTACAGCAATCAATCCGTTAGAAACTTGAATGGCCAAATCGAAAATAGCAACAAATTACACATGCATATTTTTAATTTAATTAATTAATTTCCGTCCAAATCGGCGCTCATTTTGCGGCCCATTAAAATGTCATTATAAGCGACAATCGTTTTGACTTTGCCGTTCATTTGTTTTGGCCAACTGCAAATTATAAATGTTTCGTTATCTCTTTTGTACTTTGACTCGAATTGTCTGAATACATTTAATTTTTTGTTGACTAGCTGATAGTTTAATTATTGTTTATTAATTTTATTACTGCCAGCAATTGGCTGCATTCAATTTAAAATCTTTGTGAATTTTAACGAGCGTTCATTGCGAATTGTGACAGACAGAAATTTTATTTGCTAATTATTTAAAACATATATAAAATACAACTCACGGACTTGAATGCTGCTTAATTTAAATTCCTGTTTTAATAGATACTCCTCCCTTGATTACCTTTGGTCAAATGCTCGGCAAATATTCCTTAAAATTGTTTTTATATGTTTTTATGTCTTTGCATTGAATATGACTTAAAATTGGATGCTTAATAAATTAACGCAGTTCAACTTAAACAAAGTCTTTGAAATTAACTTAAGCACTTCCCGATACACACACACACACATACGCACACACTCGCACGCTTGTAGCACAGTTTTAGGAATAACGTTTAACAAGGCTTTTATGGCCAGAGCTTGAACCCTTTCGACACGCACTCGAGTGCCCCAGCGGACCCGGACACTTTGGGGTTTCTCTGTTCGAAGCGAGCGACGCCGGCAAACTGTCGGCGTTGAAAGTTGTTGCCGCCGTCGCGGAAAAACGCATCAATTTGACCGGCACTTGAGAAGAGAAAAGACAAAAGCAAAAGCTGCGTGCCCATTGTTATTGTTGTTGTTGTTGTTGTTGTTTACGCCGCGCTCAAACCTGGTTCGATTTTGGGCACACGCACTAAAGGGTTGAGCGCGCTCTACGCAGTTAGAAATTAGGGGTTGTGGATCGGGGGAGGGGGGGCTTGCCTTAAAAACAACACAAACAAACGGCGCACGCACTTAAAACAACTCAGCTACTGAATATGCCTGTGAACTGTAAGTGGCGCTAGCTCTTGACGCTTTTACAGCGTTATCCTTAAACGCGTCACATGGCAGTTCCATATCATGGCAGAGTGTGTCTCCCGCT